TTAGCAGTATTTATTTAAAGTTTGGCTAGTCTTATACAGGAGCACTTTATGCAGGACCATCTGAATGAAACTCACACAGGAGATCTGTTGAAAATTCTATTTCTTGGGCCCTCCTCTGAGACTTTGTGAGTCTGGATTAGTAAATTTGGGTAGGCCAAGGAACTTGCATTTTTAAGCCCCCTAAGCCATCTTTGTCCACTAAAGGTAGAAAATAACTACCTATGCCTTTGTTCATCTGTATATGTTGCATGTACCATGTACCTCTGTAATACTAACTCAGATCTGTGAAATGAGTTGAAAATATTGGAAAGAAAACAATTTGACTTGTTCTATACAACCTGGCCATTTAGGGCCAAACTATGAAGAATTTTTAAAGAAAAATGTCCCCTCTTGGGCACCATCTTTATGTAAACCATTTGGAAGACAGTGTCACTTCTGGGTGGCCTTCAGATGCACCTCTCTGTGGGCTTTCGTGCTCTCTTCTCTCCTTCCAGGAGAGCTGATATACCAGGCTCAGTCCCCAGATGAAGGTGCCTTGGTTACTGCTGCCAGGAACTTTGGCTTTGTGTTGCGTTCCCGTTCGCCTGAGACAATCACGGTAATCGAAATGGGAAAAACCAAAGTCTACCAACTGCTGGCTATTTTGGACTTCAGCAATGTGCGCAAGAGGATGTCTGTTATTGGTAGGTGCCCCTCCCAGTAGTCTTTTTTTTCTCTTTCTTTCTTTCTTTCATATACTTTTACACATTTGACTTTCTTTTTACACATACATGTTTTCTCCTACTCACATGCCTTCTCACAGGTACCATGCCTCAAATACTAGTGCATAGCCATTTCCACTTTCTCTGTTACATATCTTTATATTTAAACACAAAGGGGGCTTGCTACTATAAGCAGGGGCCCTTCATTAGTATTCCTGAGTAGTGCCTTGTAAAAACCCTTAAAGCTAAGATAAAAACAGAGAATAAATCCATAAAAACTGAACCTGGAGTAAGGGATGGAGGCAGAAATATAGGGGCAATTTACACTATCTTTTGCTCAATTAGTCTGGGTCGTTCTTCATCCTTGGTACCTACTAGGTGTGAGCATTAGTATGGAACGCAGACTTGGGAAGCTAAATGTGGATCTGTATCAGTCTTCCACGGGTGATATCTAACCCATGGGAGAACTGATTTCATAAAGTGCTCTCTCATTCTCACCAGCCTTCACCATATCACATACCTGCTATCCCTCAGTGGCCCAGACAAGTTCTTCTAACAGTGGGCCTATATGGCTATTTTGCTTGATTTGCTTATTCTTAGTGAAGACACCCGACGATCGGATAATGTTGTTCTGCAAGGGAGCAGACACCATTCTTTGTCAGCTGCTTCTTCCATCCTGTACACCCCTCAAAGATGTGACCATGGACCATTTAGATGTAAGTGTGTAGGTTGTGTGTGTGTGTGGGGGGGGTGGGGGGGGGGGGGGGGGGGGGGGGGGGGGGGGGGAGCTGAGGGTGGTTCTGTGTACCTGGATATGTGTTCACATGTGTCCCTCTGTTGTGTTTCTATATGGGTGTATATTGGTGTCTGTGTCTCTTTAATTGATGGAAGAATAAAAACTACCTTAATCTGTGGGATTCTCACTGACCACATTGTCAAGGAGTTGGATGGCACAGGATCCCAGGAGCTTAACAAGGGTTATGTCGGTCGGACCCCTTACCACAATCAGAATAGTTCTAATCCCTGGCTTTGGAGGTATCATGGTCAGATCTAGAATTTGCTTCAGAATAGGTCGTCTGGTGTGGGAGTCCCCATCCCACCAGCCATAATGAGATTAGATTGTTTTTAGGGCATGGAGCAGAAATCACCAGGCCTGAGCTGTTTAGGGGACTGTTTTATTCCATCCTCTGTTGACTACAGAATTAGAATCACCAAAGCTACCCCCCTCTACCCACCCCACTCCACATCCAACCTCTTGGATTTGAGATATATCAGAAAGTGGCTCTAGTGTGCTGTCACTAGGAAGGAAAGCTAAATCCATATTCTCTGGGATTTCTACCCTTATGCCTGCATATATAGAGGATTGGGGGAATAGGACAGGGGATAGAATGAGGAAGAGGTAGATCAGGGGGAAAAAAAATTTTTAAAGAGGAAACATATGAGAGAAAATGCTATTTGGGCCATTTTGGCTTGACTCTATATTTAATACATAGTCAGAAGTCTGAACAAAAGGCCAATAAGCACATGAAAGGTATTTAGTGTCATTAGCCATCAAAAAAATACAAATCAAAATCATAAGATACTACTTTACATCATTGGGGTAGCTAAAATAACAAAGATGGCGAGACAATAGGTAAGTATTAACAAGGACATAGAGAAATTTTAACCTTATTACATTGCTTATGGGAATATAAAATAATGGAGCCGTTTTGGGAAAAACGGTTTGGCAGTTATTGATAATATTAGGTGTTGAGTTATTATATGACTCAGCAATTCCTTGCTAGGCATATTTCCAAGACAAATAAAAATATAATCTACATAGAAACTTATGCACAAATGTTCATAGCAACATTATTCACAATAGCAAAAAAAGTAGAAACAACCCAAATGTCCATCAGTGGATGAGTGGATAAACAAAATGTAGTATATTCATACAATGAATTATTCAGGCACAAAAAGAAATGACATAGCCCTGGCCATTGCGATCTCAGTTGGTTGGAACATTGTTCCATACACCAAAAAGTTGCAGGTTTTGCTGAAACCGGTTTGGCTCAGTGGATAGAGCGTTGGCCTGCAGACTGAAAGGTCCCAGGTACGATTCTGGTCACGGGCATGTGCCTGGGTTACGGGCACATCCCCACTGGGGGGTGTGCCAGAGGCAGCTGACCAATGTTTCTCTGTCTTCCATGTTTCTAACTCTCTATCCCTCTCTCTTCCTCTCTGTGAAAAATCAATAAAATATATTTAAAAAAAAAAAAGTTGCAGGTTTGATCCCTGATCAGGGTACGTACAGGAGGCAACCAATTGATGTTACTCTCTCTCTCCCTTCTTCTCTTTCTAAAATCAATATATATGTCCTCAGATGAGGATTTAAAAAAAAAAGGGGGGGTGGGGAGATAGAGAATCCAAGATGGTGGCATAGGTAAACACCTAACTGTTGCCGCACACAATAATTTCAATAAAATACAACTAAAATACAAAATGGACATTACCCAGAACTACAGGAAAGTCGACTGACTGGAAATTCTACAACGAGAAAGAAAGAGAAAACCAGAAGGAAAATCAGAGGAGCTGTAAAAGCCTAAGGTACGGAGACACGTTGCACGTGCTGAGAGGACCGAGCCGGAGAGGAGGGGTGGCTGAGTGCCTGGCTGGTGTTCCCTAGCGGGAAGGAGATAAAAGCTCCGGACTGTGCTGAACCCCAGATCCGACAGCACTGAACCCCAGTTCTGGGCGAGATCCTGGGGACCCAGACACAAGGAGGGAGTCTGGGCTGTAAGGCGGAACCTCAGGGGAGCGGCAAAAGGCAGTCCCGGAGGCATGCACATTACTCGCAGAGGACGGACTGTTGACTCTGCTACTAGATTGCCCTAGCGGGAAGGAGACAAAAGCTCCGGACTGTGCTGAGCCTCAGTTCCAACTGCACTGAACCCCAGTTCTAGGCCAGACCCTGGGGATCCTGGGCTGTAAGGCGGAATCCCAGGGGAGTGGCGAAAGGAAGTCACGGAGGCGCGCACCTTGTGCACAGAGAATGGACAGTTGACTGTGCCGCTGGATTGCCCTAGCGGGAAGGAGACAAAAGCTCCAGACTGCTCTTAACCCCATTCCCAACCCCACTCCCAACTGTACTGAACCCCAGTTCCGGGCTCATTGGAGGAGAGCCTAGACTGTTTGGTAGCAGGCGAAACTCGAGGGCACCTTTCTCTCAGAGGTGCTTGCAGCAAGTACGAAGGACACTGAAGAACACTGAGACCCAGGAGCCTCATAGGGCGGGGCTGACGGAAGCCAAGGCTGTAGGCTCCACCCTGAAACTCCACCCCATCCAAGCTGAACACAGAGACTTTTAAGGCTACCAACTCAGGGAAGCTGCAAAAATGCTGAGACAAGGAAATAGTTCAAGCGACTGGATATAGAGTTCAAAACCACGCTTATAAGGTTTTTCAAGAATTTTCTGGAAAAAGCCGATAAAATAAATGAGATCTATGAGGATATGAAAAGGGATCAACTAGAAATAATAAGGGATCAACAAGAAATAAAGAATACATTGTCTGAAATAAAAAATATTATACAGAATCCTAAAAATAGAATGGAAGATCACAAGAATCAAGTCAAAGATTTGGAACATAAAGAGCCAGAAGACACTCCTCTGCAGAAGCAAGAAGACAAGAGAATCCAGAAAGTTGAAGTTAATGTAAGAAACCTTTGTGACAACTTCAAGTGAACCAACATCAGAATTATGGGGGTCCCAGAAGAAGAGAGAGAACAAGATACCCAAAACATACTGAAAGAAATAGTGACAGAAAGAATTAGACTTAATTCTGTCCAGGGTCCCCAGAGTCTGGTAAAAGAATTAAACTTACAAGTCCAGGAAGCGCACAGAACCCCAAACAAAAGGAATCCAAAGAGGACCACACCAAGACACATCATAATTAAAATTCCAAGACAAAAGACAAAGAGAGAATATTAAAAGCAGCAAGATAAAAGCAGGTAGTTACCTATAAAGGAGCACCCATACGATTGTCAGCTGATTTCTCAACAGAAACCATGCAGGGCCAGATGGGAATGGCAAGAAATATTCAAGATGATGAATAGCAAGAACCTACAGCCAAAAATAATCTACCCAGCAAAGCTATCACTCAGAATTGAAGGCCAGATAAAGAGCTTCACTAATTAAAAAAAAAAAGCTAAAGGAGTTCATCACCGCCAAACCAGAATTATATGAATTGCTGAAGGGGGTTCTTTCGGAAGAGGAAGAAAATAAAGATAAAAATTATGAACAACAGACTCCGCTGACGCCACCGCCTCCTCTGCGCGCGCCCACAGCACGGTTTCCCCGACTCTCCGCCCGTCCTTCCCGCAGCGCCCAGGGACCATGGCTGATCCTCGCGTGAGACAGATCAAGATCAAGACCGGCATGGTGAAGCAATCGGCCAAAGAAAAAATGATGTATGAAAAAGAAGCAAAACCACAAGAAGAAAAGACTGAAAAAATGAAAGCTGAAGATAGTGAAAATTCTGCCCTTAAAAAGCAGGCAATGGCCCTGCAGGAGCCCCGGATGATGACCCCAGATTGCCAGCGCAGACTGGAAGCTGCATACGCTGATCTTCTGCAGATATCAGAGAATGAAAAAGAATTGGAAGAAGCTGAGGAATATAAAGAAGCACGTTTAGTACTGGATTCAGTGAAGTTAGAGGTCTGAAGCTTTTTTGTACCGAGTGCTTTTTTGCAATTAATCCTGGATTCATTCCACAATTTATTAGTTTTAGCCATTGCTGTGTGTTCAAGTAGGATCAGAATGTGATTCGTTTTATGCAATTACATATATTTTTCTTTGCCTAATTTAATGTGTCAAATAAATGAATTCGCCTAATAAAATTATTTATTTCATACTCTTTTACAAAATAAAAAATTATGAACAACAAATACATAACTATCAACAAGTGAATCTAAAAACCAAGGGAATTAAAAAAATCTGATGAACAATATTAACTGGTGAATATAATAGAATCAGAGGTATGGAAGGGGAGTGAACTGACGATTCTCAGGGAAAAGGGGAGTGGGAGGTGTGGGAAGAGACTGAACATAAACTGCACCTATGGACGAGGACAGTGGGAGTGGGGAAAGGGCAGAGGGTGGGGTGGGAACCTGGTGGAGGGGAGCAATGGGAGGGAGGAGAAACAAGGAACATTTGTAATAATAGAACAATAAAGATTTATTTTAAAAAATAAATAAATAAAAAATAAAAAGCACAGCAAAAAAAAGGGGGGGAGGAGAATGACATACTCATACATGCTACAATGTGAATGAACCTTGAAAGCATTATGCAAGAAGCCAGTCACAAAAGGCCACATGTTGTATGATTTAATTTATATAAAACTAGTGGCCCAGTGCATGAAATTCGTGCAGAGTCGGGGAGGGCCCCTCAGTTCAGTCTGCACCCTCTCCAATCTGGGATCTCTCAGGGGATGTCCGACTGCCAGTTTAGGCCCTGTGGGATTTGGCCTAAACCAGCAGTTGGACATCCCTCTCGTAATCTGGGACCACTGGCTCCTAACTCAGAGCGCCAGTGGGTCTGTCTTTATTTTTATTCATTTAAAAAATTTTAGGGCAAAAGTCTATGATTTTTAATTAAAACTGAAAAACTGTCAGGGTCAGGAATGACAGAGGACCTAGGTGGATGGGATCCTGGGGGTGGGAGAGTGAGGAACATTGTTGACACAGTTGTCAAAATTCAAATGGGGTCTGTGGATTGAACCTTAATACCATTTGAATGGAGATTTCTTCACATGGTTAGGTGGAGAATTGTTATGTAGGAGTGTCTGCTTTTGGTAAATACACAGGAGAGTATCCAGGCATCCTGTCATGTGTAGAGCATGCTCTCAAACAGCTCAGAAAAAGACTGGGAAATGTGTATAAATGCACACACTCACACAGTCTAACCTTGCTATTTTTGACTCTTTCTTTATGCACCTGCCTACTTGCTAAGATCTGTAACTCCAGAATCAAGGCTTGCAGAGCTTCCTCAGCCATTGGGCCACAGCCAGGGTGCAGGAACCTGCAGATAGACCCATGGGCACAGTCCCAGCTGAGGTCCAACAGGTGTCACTGTCTTTTTGTTTCTGCTCCAGTTTGTAAACTGGGGTCTGTTTCTCAATGAGTTCCATTGGGGCTTTGGCATTTCTGTGCTTCCTGGTGGCATCTGGTTGTGTAGGATGGCCAAGTTGGGTTCAATTCCAGGCAAGGGCACATGCCCAGGTTGTGGGCTTGATCCCCGGTGGGGGGTGAGCAGGAGGCAGCTGATCAATGATTCTCATCATTGATGGTTCTCTCTCTCTTCCTTCCTCTCTTTTTGCATCCCTCCCTTTCTCTCTGAAATCAATAAAAATATATATATTTTTTAAAAATAGCCTACCAGTGTATTAAGCTTGCCAACTCCTGTTATCAGTATCCTATGCAAAATCAGTTTCTGCCGTATTTGTTTTTTCTTAAGAAGTTTCTAAGATCTTCTCTCAGCCTTCTGTTTCATAGCTTCACCTGCCAACAATACAGAGAGGTTTAAAAGATGGCATTCCTTACATATACTGTCTTATGTTAATTTCACCTACCATCAAGCACTCAGGAGTTACACGGGGAACTAAGAGCATAATATCAAGATGATAAATTCTATTTCTCTTTGTTCTTATAATGCAAAAGTGTATTGTTTTGAAGCTCACTATAACAGTGATCATGTAGAATTGTTATTCATGTGCAATTCTCAGTACACAAAATCTGCTTCTGACCCACCCTCAGTTGAGTTCTACCCTAAACCACCCATATTCTCACCCAGCTCTCCTTGTGACCAGGACAGCAAGCTATGGTTAGGATATATTTCAGTGGCCACGGAGTAAAAAGATGCTAGCTCACCCAGAAAGCATTTCAGCAGTGGCCTCACTAACACTGCTGAGTCAACCAGCTGAAGACAGATATGTAATATGTGTGCTATTTGAGATGTTCATTGAACGCTTAATGAAGGAAGTCAGAGACAGGAAAATAAAATGAATGTATGCTTGTCAAAAATAGAAATACCTTTTTATAAAACTTTTTTTTTTTATAAGAACTTTTTTTCTTTTTACTCCCTTCATTTTCATATTGTGGACATCATTAACTTCTCTGTAGGGGCTGAATTTTACAAGAAATTAATCTAGAAAGCTTGGTTTTTCCTATGGTCACAATGCAAATTAACTAATTACAGATAGAAACCAAAACCTCCTGTCAGTACTCTCAAACTTTGCCCCCAACTCTGCTGGCTCAATCCTTAAGGCATTTTGCTGAGAAAGCTCAGCAGTTGCTTTCTAGTTAGGGTAGCTCCTTACCCATGGTACCGTGTTTCCCCGAAAATAAGACATCCTCCGAAAATAAGACCTAGCGCATGGAAAGATAAGACATCCCCTGAAAAATAAGACCTAGCACAACTTTGGGAGAAAAAATTAATATAAGACACTGTCTTATTTTCGGGGAAACAGGGTAGTAACTATAATATTAAACCCTATTTGCAAAGAGACGGGGCCTGTGAGGTCCAGTTGCTGCTCCCCGGACTGAGCCCTAACCCAGGCCAGGTCCACTCAGTGCACATACATGTCTTCCAGGAGTTTGCCAGAGATGGCCTTCGCACCCTCCTGGTGGCCTACCGAGAACTGGACAAGTCGGACTTCTCTACCTGGTACCGGAAACACAGTGAAGTCTCCTTCTCTTTGGAGGACCGGGAAAATAAAATATCAAACATCTATGAAGAGGTCGAAAAAGACTTGATAGTGAGTGGGAGGAAGCCAGGGACAGACACGGGCACGATGTGGGATGGCGGCCAGCCAACGGAGCAAGGGCTCTCAGAGTGGCAGCCAGCAAAGCAACAGCTTCAGGCTCTCTCTGGATACTGGCTTCTGAATGCAAGCTAATTCAGAATATCCTGTATCTTTGAAATCCGAAAATAATGAAAAATGCACTTATAAATGTTATCTTTCTGGCAATGTTTCTTTTCTTTTTCTTTTTTCTTTTTTTTTTTTTAAGTCCTCATCCAAGGATATTTTTTTCCATTGATTTTTAGAGAGAGTAGAAGGGAGAGACAGAGAGAAACACTGATGTGAAAGAGCCACATCAATTGGTTGCCAGGGCCAGGAGCCTGCAACCAAGGTACGTGCCCTTAACCGGAATCGAACCCCGGGCCCTTCAGTCCACAGACCTACACTGTATCCGTTGAGCCAAACCAAGTAGGACTCTGGCAATGTTTCTTAGCCCAAATCTGCTCACAGAAGCTAAGTCATCTGGGAGAAATTAGGATCTGAATAAAGCACAGATTATATAGTCCAGAACTAATTGATGGAAGACTTAAGACAAAAATATTCCCTCATTCATTTGGCATATTTATTAAATTCCTCCTGTGTGCCAGGCAAGCCAAGCAGGTCTCTTTGGGATTAGCTTGACAGAAGAAAGACCCTTAGCAAGAACAAAGACCCTGAAACAGGAGCAGGCTTATCTTGTTAAATAAATAGCAAGCAGCTAGGGTGGCTGGAACAGCGCAAAGTGAGGAGAGACTTAAAGGACAGAGATGCATTTGAGGACCCAGAAGCTTTTAATCTAGCTATTTCCCTTTTCGTGGGTAAAGGCCTTAAAAACCTTAGAGGGCGCCAAAGCCGGTTTGGCTCAGCGGTAGAGCGTCCGGTCTGCGGACTGAAAGGTCCCAGGTTTGATTCCGGTCAAGGGCATGTACATTGGTTGCAGGCACATCCCCGATAGGGGGTCTGCAAGAGGCAGCTGCTCAATGTTTCTCTCTCATCGGCGTTTCTAGCTCTCTCTCTCCCTTCCTCTCTGTAAAAAATAAACAAGAAACAAAAAACACCTTAGAGGGCTGTAGTAGGTACAAACACAAAAGAGGTCCACCCAAGCTCTTGTAGGGTTGAAATAAAAACTGGAATGGGAGGTAGGGGGTCCTTTATCTGGAACCCACTGCTTTTGGAGACCAAAGGCAGGAAGCATGCTGTGAATCCAGAGAGAAGTGGAAGTATGTTGAGAAACAAATGGTTTAGAAGAGGCACACAGCATCATGTATGGCTTGGGCAAGTCTTTTTCCCTCCTGATCCCTAATAGTCTGTGTTTCCAAATTTGATTTCAGCGTGTGGTTGAAAAGCTACGTCTGTTGAGAGGTAGAGTGTGCTGAGTTTTTACATTATTGGGTTCCTCATGCCAGGACAGGGCCAGCTTACTACGGAGGATGCTGAAGTGCCCATTGAATTGTTGGGTGCACGAAATGCTGTGACTCTCCTTTTTCCTCACTTGTTGTTATCTCTGTTCAAAGCTCTTAGGGGCCACAGCCATAGAAGATAAGCTGCAAGATGAAGTGCCTCAGACAATCAAAACGCTGAGCAAAGCCAAAATTAAAATCTGGGTTTTAACTGGAGATAAGCAAGGTAAAGGGGAGTACCTCACCTGATCAATCATGTTCCCTATCCATCTTAGCCATTTCTTCCTTTCCTTTTTTTCTTATGCATTTATAGAAAAAAATACCTTATAACCCAGGTCAAGTCCACTAGGACAATTTGCTAACTACATGCTTTACTCTAGTTGCTGTATTAGGGCAGAGGACACAGATGTCTGTCATCGAGGAGCTCACAAGCTAAAAATTCTAGCATTGTCTTTGACTGTCCCCTCTCTGTTGTCCCAAAGATTCATTCTCTCACCATGTCTCATCAGTTCTTCTGAAAATCCTCTTGGTAGTTGGTCCGAAGGTTGTGGGTTATTATTAAGCTGATTAACATTGAAAATCCTCTTGGCTATGCCATCACCCTAGTTTGGCCTTTGTCCCCCTGCTGGCTGAACTTTTGCAAAAACTTCT